AGGAAAACCATACAAAATAAACCTGGTAGTCTTTTTAAAGGGACCTAGTGTGTCCTTATCCCAGAGGAAGGCACTTAACCTTTGGCAAAGGTGTGACTTTTCTTTTGGATATCTGTTTCAGTTGGTAAGTTCAGATGGAAAACCTGCGAGAATGTGGGTGAAAAATTAATGTTTAAGAAATCACAGTTCACTCTGTGCTCACACAGACCTGTTGGAATATTATATCCAATATGACCATCCACGGTCTGTGCCTCCAGCTCCAACCCAAAACCATCCTGATATGTGCTTGTCCCCCAGAGACTGTCAGCTTCTTCCAGCCCCCATCAAGAAACTGCAATCTTGTGGTAATAAGATAAAATGTGTGACACATTTCAGCCATCTTCTCCCCTCTGTGTTCAAGGTTCATCTTTATCTTGCTGATGCCAAAAACACTGAGCATCCCTTAACATCTGTTTGTGTTTTTAATTCATGAAATAAGTTTGCAAAGGACTATTGGGAAAAGCATATTAAATAAATTTTTAAAGCTAAAGGCAGGACCAAGATTTTACTCACTTTTCTGTTTTTATGGTTTTATCAGCCAGATACCTCCAAATGCATACTTATTGCACACGTTATGGAAAGAAGACGTCTTCCTTCTTCTCTCAGTAGGCAGAACATACCTGCCTTGTTTCATATTCTCCAACATCTGTCTCAGGTCTGGTAAGTCCATGAACAGAGCCTGAGACTCCAGCAGTTGTCTTCCCTCAAGCTGTGAAGCCACGATATATCCTGATGCACCCCCCCGCCAAGTAGCATGGGTTTAGTTGGTGGTGTCCTGAGAGGCTTTTCTACACCGTGCCTCTTTCACCTACCCAGAAGTTGCCAATTGGTTTGTCAGAATAATGAAGTAGATTGAAAATGTGTCATAACTGAAATGAAATCACACACTTATAATTGAATATTGCTTCTTTTAGTGGTAGTCGTACTCTCCAAAATGAATACAAGTATTTTTATTTCTGCCATTTTTCTCTGGGTTGATGCTTTTGAGACCAGAGCAATTTCTAGGGAATTTGTAAGTACATTTAATCTAAACTTTCTTGACACTTTAAAAAAAAAATGCTAGTTTTTTTGAATTTTTGAATTATTTTGCTTATTAAATGTCACGCATTGTATGTCTCTATAATAAAAACATACAAAATAGTGATAATTTTCTTATGAAGGAGTGTTTTTCATGTGCATACTATATATCTAGTCCTGTTGTCCTTTAGAGTGTATAACTGGTGTGTTAAGGAATGTCAGTATAGACAAAAATTAGACTAAAAATCAGATTAGTTCAGCAAAGGTTTGATTGCTGTATCACAACCTTTTTATTATAGCATTCAGTTCAAAAATGTTTGCGTTCCTTATTGAACAAGCTGCGTATTTTTCTGGCTAAGGTGTGTATACTGTAGTCATTACATTTTTGCACACTTCACTGACTGAGCTGCATGGACTACTTAACTGTCACCATGAATACTTGACTGAGTTCAGCTGCTTGAGTGCTTCGGTTTGTGTATTTTATTACTTCAGTGGTGTATGTTGATAAAGTTCTGTTCTGTGCTGTTAAATTTTTGGTTCTGCCAATCTAGCTATATACCATGCTGAGAGAACTGCACGCATTGCTAGCTGCTTACTCTGTGGTGAACATGAGTGGTTGAAATGTTATAATCTTCAGTGTTTTGTTAAATGAGCTGCATATTTTTGTTTTTATATACGTTGCTTACCCAGTTGTGTACATTTGCCCAACTCATTATACAAAATAAGCTTGATTGGAATAAGAACATTCTCTACCAGCTGTCTGCTCTGAGTCAGTATGTAACAAAATTAGCAACTTTCTCTTTCCAACAGTGACATGATTGCATCCAAAGTTTAAGGCAATTGGTTTGGAGATCTTGTTTGTTTCATTCACTCCATGCAAACATCAAGATTAACAAACCAATTTGTTGTAACTTAATTTGTTTTCACAAATATGAACAGAGTTAAGTAACAGGAAAAACTCAGCATTCTAATATAGGAAAATGCTTTCATGTAGAGTATGGAATATATATAGAGACCTAAATATCATTATATAAGATGGAAAATAACTAAAGACCTCCCATGATGGATATTTCATTACATAAGGAATATCCTAAGTATTTAAAATTACAAATATAACTTTTTGTAATTTAAGTGCATGTTTTCATCAAGAGTTATAAAAATAATCTCATCTCATGACCATTAGAAAATCTCAGAACTCTGCAATAAACAAAATACGTGAAAACTGATGTACAGGGATATGTAGTTTGCTTATTAACTTTGGTGCAAAATTGAATTAACATCTTTAAGAAAGTGGTTTTCTCAACTTGCTAATTTTTCAAGTCATATTCACTAAAACCTACAGGTTATTCTTAGATTTTGTTTGACTAATTTGCAGAGTTTTCATACTTAGCAGCTTGTGCTTCCATTTACAAAATCTTCAGCAGTACCTCTCCTCAAAAAAACTTTCTTAATTTTTCTTGAGTATGGAGATACTTAATTAGGGCTATATAATTTACCTGGACTCCTACCTGCCCCATGTATAAATGTAAATGTGCCTGGCTCCTGTTGTTGGTGTACCAGTGCTGATTGCTTTCACTTTAATGTAATTCACTGTTGTCTGAGCAGACTGCCTGGAAGGTACAGATTTGGTTTTGCAAAATTTTACGTATGAAAGCTTAATTGATCTTATTGCTTTAGTCAAAAGTGTTTGATTTTAACCAGTGGCCATTTAATTCTCAGACCACTATGAACTGTTATTTAAGGGTGTAAACATTGCAATAGTTTATTCTAAAAACAAATGTTTGAATACTTAGGGATATTCTTCCCCTAGGGTGGTCTGTACTCACTGATACCTGTGGAAAAGAAATTTGAAAAGAGAAATACAAATGGAATGTATCAGTATATCCTGAAACATTATATCAAAATTAATTTAGTCTTCATATTTTGTTTTTTCTGTGTATATTACTGTTGGGTATCAAAAGAGTACGAGAAACCAGGTATACAGGATTTAGCATCTGAAAAGTAAATGTATTAAATGAGATGAGATCGATCCAACCTAGACTTTCTTCAGAGAAACAGAATAAGTAATTTTGCATAAAATGACTTACAGCAGACAGATGGCAAGGAAGAAGGTTTTGTCTCTGTCTTCTCTTTTCTTCCCCCAGCATGAATTTACTTTCGGTATCCGTCCATTACCAGTAAAGATCTAGATTTTGCTCCTCCTTTGAACTGTTGACTATCAGCTACTGTTTTCCCAAAGTTATCAGTGTAAACTAAGATCAGAGTTGGACTCTTTCCTTCTTTATCATATTCAAATGAATGATGGCTATGGGCAATTTCTACTGTGTAGGTATCCTGAACAGTTTTTGCAGAGGAAAATTCTTCCTTTTGCCAAAGGAAATGAAGACGAATATTCCTTTCTTTGGGGAAAGAAAATCAGAAAACTTTATTTTTTCCTGCTGCTGCCTGAGACCTAAGAAAGTTGAAAGAAATGTCTAAGAAGTTTTGAGATGAATGATTCTCCTGGAGAAACTGGATGCTCATGGCTTGGACGGGTATATTCACTGGATAAAAAACTGGCTGGATGGCTGGGCCCAAACAGTGATGGTGAATGGAGTTAAGTCCAGTTTGCAGCCAGTCACAAGTGGAGTTCTCCAGAGCTCAGTATTGGGCCAATTCTGTTTAATACCTTTATCGACAATCTGGACAAGGGGATCAAGTGGACCCTCAAAAGTTTGCAGATGACACCAAGTTGGGCTGAAGTATTGATCTGCTTGAGGGTAGGAAGGTTCTACAGAGAGATCTGGACAGTCTGGATCAATGGGACAAAGCCAACTGTATGAGGTTCAACAAAGCCAGGTCCTGCAATGCTACAGGCTTGGGGAAAAGTGGCTGGAAAGCTACTCAGAAGAAAAGAACCTGGGGGTGTTGCTCAACAGCCAGCTGATTATGAACTGGCAGTGTGCCCGGGTGGCCAAGAAGGCCGATAACATCCTGGCTTGTATCAGAAATAGTGTGGCCAGCAGGACTAAGGAAGTGATTGTCCCTCTATACTCAGCACTGGTGAAGCTGCACCCCAAATACCATGTGCAATTTTGGGCCCCTCACTATAAGGAAGACATTGAGGTGCTAGAGTGTGTCCAAAGAAGGGCAATGAAGCTGGTGAAGGGTCTAGAGAACAAGTCTTATGAGGAGCAGCTGATGGAACTGGAGTGGTTTAGCCTGGAGAAAGAGAGGCTCAGGGGAGATGTTATTGCTCTCTACAACTGCATGGAAGGAGATTGTAGCAGCATGGGTGTCAATCTCTTCTCCCAGGTATCAAAGGATAGGACAAGAGGAAATGGCTTCAGGTTTAGATTGGATATCAGGAAAAATTTCTTCACCAAAGGGGTTATCAAGCTTTGGAACAGGCTTCCCAGGGAAGTGGTTGAGTCACCATCCCTGGGGGTATTTAAAAGATGTGTAGATGTGGTGCTTAGGGACATGGCTTAGTGGTGGACTTGACAGTGCTAGGGTAACCATAGATTCTATAATTCTATTCTATGATCCTGTGAAGCAGTTGGAAGGTTTTCATGAGGACTGCTACCCTGTCTCACAGCTCTCCACCAACCTCTCTAACACTAACTGCAGCAAACTGGACTTGTTTTTCTGCTTTTAGATCTGAGTAACCTATTTCTTTGTACAACTAGGATATCTACTGAAAAATCAGCATATTAAATTTAAAACATACATTTCATTTATATCACTACAGTGTAAATCAACATGGACTATTAAAATAGTAGGAACAGACAGGGTATCCATTATCTGAGATCTATGGAGAATAACAATTCATAAGATACATATCTATTCTATATATTTTCTACGTATATGTTTATGCAACTGGTATATGTGATACACATACAAACTCTTTCATAAGTTTTACCTGACCACTTTTCTTTGCTTTTTTTTTTTTTTTTTTTCCCCAGAGAGTAATTTTCAATGTCGTCAACTTCAGTAAAACAAAAAGCCTCTATAGAGATGGGATGGCTCCAATGGTGAAATCCACAAGCAGACCAAAATGGTAAGTCATCCTTTCAAAGACTTGCTTAACGAGATAAAAGTGTTTTACTTGACACTTTCTTGTAGCACAGACCTTATGGCTCAGATGCACCCTTCGGTAAGAATAGGAGAGAACTTTGATGCAAAAGCAGTGTTGTGAGGACATATTCTCTTTGGAGGAGACAGACAGTATGAACTCTGGAGGCCCCTTCCAGCCTTGTTGTGATGGTGTGTTGAAGTCCCTTGTTTCAAGTAGCATGACTGAAGTGATGTCCATTCAAGCAAACTGAATAGTCAGGGCTTGGGCCAAATTATTTTTCAGTGACATCCTCATCGTCCAACTGTTAGGACAGCCCCTGGCCCAGTTTTGGCCTGTGTCAGCAATCAGTCTACCAGACAAAGCTTAGAAATAAGGTAGGAGATGGACAGGGCCTGGACTGGTTCTGAAAAGCTGTTTGAATTTGTTCTCCTTGGTCTGGGGTTGTCAGAGTTTAGTGGAAGAATGTGAGCTCTGCCATGTGAGTTGATCTCATGTGAATGAGCAGTGTCGGGTCTGCTTTGTCTAAGACAGAAGGTGGCCAAACAACCTGGTCATAAGCTACACAATTTGTACAACACAGAAAGGCATACGCATATGAGACACATGAATACCCATACAGAAGGTACATTTTCACAAAGCGAATGTAATGAAATGTCTAATGTGAATAATAATATGTAAATCTAATGAGTCCTAATGCATGCAAGACTCCCAAGAATTATATGATTTGCCTTTAGCTAGGAGACTTGTTTGAATATGGATGGTGAGGTTAGGCCATAAGTGTACAGTAATGTATTCTTCTAAGCCTTTCCAGCTGCTACATTTTATTGGTTAATTAATAATATATTTGATCAAGCTGCATATTATCTGAGCCGTATAAATATATCTTTCTTAAATACTTCAACTGTCACAAAATTTCTACCCACAAGATGTTAACTTTTGGTGGTCATAAGATCATTGTTATTGTATGGCTTCTTCTTCATATGACCATCAGAATGACTATTTGTGTTTTTGTCTAGATGGTAAGGACATATGGACAGAAGAGCTGTCTCACAGTACAGTTAGTGGATGGAGTCAATTCCAGCTCAATAGAAACATGTAATAACATTGAAAATTAATTAAAAAAATCCATTGTGTTTAGTGTTTTTGTAGCAAAAGTCATGTTAATTGTGTTTACTATTCAAATTTAGGAAAATCTTTCGGGGCTTTTCAGGGCCACATTTATCAAGCATGCTTTCAAAATCCTTTCCTTCTCTCACTGAGGTCTGGTATTTGCAGCTAAGTATATTGCGTGTTAAGTTTATCTATAAATCAGGTATTGCTTTCATACAAATTTTATGCCTTACTTTGGTTTCAAATTAAAGTGTAAATCTTACAAAACAATTCAAAATGGGCTTTTTCTAGAACATATAGGCTCCTTCACTATTTTTAAAACAGATTTCTCTTCCATTTCCCCAGAGATCTATTTATTTTTGTGTTTTATATTTTTAGGGGATGTATTTTGCTCCCATGAAAGTGAGGAATGAATAACATTGCCTGGAGCCAGGCACAGTGTAGGCAGCAGGTGCTGAGCAGCTTCCTTTTACAGGGCTACTACCATACTTTTATCCTATTTCAGAAATTCAAGCTGTATTTTTAAAAAAAAAAAAAAATATCATTATTCTATTAAAGTAGTTTTATTTTTTTCTAATAGACTGTGTATGAAAGCATCGTGCTGTACTTTGAAGATGCACATTAATTTATACTGTTATCAGGGACCTTAGTGATATTGGGGTCTAGTCAGTATAATTTTCTGTCTTGATGTTAATAGGAATTATGCATGTGTTTTCCCACTTGGAAAACACATACATTATTTTTGGATATATGCTTTCTATTAGTGCTGTCTTCCATTTGGATTATACCTTTTACAATTACCTCTGTATCTGTTTCCATGGCATTCTAGTGAAACCTGTAAACAAAATTTTCTCCTTCTCTGCTGAAATAGGATTTACTAGTACTTGCAGTTGCTAATGTGTCATACAGGTAGTTGTGGTCCTTGAACATGAACAGGGCAATATCCAGCTGCATCGATCTGATCCTGTTTGATGCTTTGTATGTATTAGTCTAGTAAGCAATACTGAGTCGTTCAATGCTGCAAAAGTGCTGAGGTTTACACAAGGGTACTCAGGATTCAGAATTGTGGAAGGAAGTTGCTGGAACTCTCCACCTTATATTAAGTTTTGAATCAGCATAGGTTAGTGGATATAATGTAATTAAATTAGAAAATGATGTATTAATTACAAAAAGTTGAAGAAACACAAAAGTTTTTAAACTCAAGTTAAAAGGAAGAAGATTACCAAAACCCATAGTCTCCAAATATTCTGAAACAGATCTCAATCCTTCATCTCTGAACTCTTCTGTACTCAGTATTTGAGGAACTCATCATTATTGTGCCTGCCTCTGGAGGCGTGTGATCCCTACTGAAATTCTCCCAACTTCCTCTGGCCACACTGATAGGAGCAATGCTGTGTCACAAATAACTATTCCACTCCCTTTTTTATACAATCAGGTTTGAGTTTTAGGGTGATAGTGTCTATTTTCCTTTTTACATTTGAAAGATCTAGGCACGTTACTCTTACTAACAGATATTCAAGCCTGAGTTATGCCTTTTTGATTTAAATGAGAAAGTTCCCACTGTATTCAGAATAGAATTTGACCATAGTGCTTGCAAAATCCTACATATCAAAATCAGGTTGGCCTCCAGAGACTGTGAATTTTCATGTTTGTTTTGAATTTGGTTATGCAAACATGGCTTCAAGCTTTGCAACATTTTGTGAGTTTGATTCTTGACTCTGGAACAAATCACTGCCAAGTGCTCTTGAAGTAGAGTGTCAAACACAGATCAATGTTTTTGACCTGTATTCTCTTGCCCTGTGGGCTAAGATCTTTAGATGCAGTCAGCATCAAGGTTCAGCTCAGTGTTACTGATGTAAATGGAGTATATCACTGTCATCAAAGCACTCTATATGGACACAGATGTCCTGGTGTTGACATATTCTTCTCTTTTGAAGTAAGGCCAAATACTTCCAGTAATGAGCTACTTAAAAAGAGGAAGCAGTATGCTGAAGGATAAAGAAAAAACAGATTTCAACCTAAAGAAAAGGATTATTTTTAAAAAAGCAAAAACCAGAAAAATAAGTTCTGATTAAAATGATATCTATTTTTCCCATACATGGTAATGGATTTACTGAATATTCTTTCCTGGAGGGATAGAGCAAAATAAAAACCTGAGTGTGTTAAGTTCAGAGTCCCTCTACCCATTTTTTCCTGCGTTTTTTGTGGACATGCTGTGTTGACACTAAATAGAATGGGGTTGTGTCAGCTGCATCAGTCAAATTTCACTTCAGTGAATCACAGCTCATACGTAGAAATGCAGCATTGTGTCACACCATGTTACATCAGTTGCACTTCATAGCAAATTGGACAAGATAAAACTCAAGATTTTATTTCAAGCCAGTGGAATGTGCTGTGTCTGATGACTCAGCTTTTTTGCTTAAAATTAGCTGGTTGTGAGGAAGTATTACATCAAGATTTTAGAGAATTGGTGTTTTTTTCTAAATAATGACTACTACAAATAAAAAGCACAATTATTATAATAGACACCCTTTCTGTTTCGACTGGGTCATTTTTCTTTGCCTCACTTGTGGAGGTGAAGAATTTGAGGGGAGATGGATTTGGGGAAGTTAAATTTTTGCTATGCTGATGCAGTTTCCACTGTAATCTTTTTCTTTGCTGCTTCATTTACGTGCAACCTAATTTTGTTGCAGTTTCTTAATCATGATTTCACACTAAAAGCTCTGTCCTTGGAAGGTATTCATAAAACCTACCATGTGGGCATAGCAGTGGAAGACCATTTAAGTACGTATATCGTAATATTATATTGATTGCATGAAGTTTTACAAGTTTCTCAAAGTGAAATAGAAAAGTGAGTTGTTCGAGAGGCAGCAGATTTTCCAAATGATGAAGTGAGCAAATATTCCCTTTGGGCAGAGAACAGCTATAACTCTTGATTATTCAGTGTGAGCATTGCCTCATTGGGGACATTAGTTTTTCAAATTGTGCTAATCTTTTAAAAGTAACAACTGGCCACTCATCACCTTAGGTATTTCAGCAAGATCATGTGCAAAACTCTAATTAGTATTTATAGAACAGTAACTCCTCCCAGTAGAATAGTAGCGGTAGCTGGCAAATATCTGGTTGACACCTGTTAAGTCTTCAGACATCCATTGTATTTTATTCTGCATTTCAAATGAGCAGAGAGCAGTAGGTGAAGTCCCCATAATTAAGGGATAAAGGATTATAAATAACATGGTTCTTGAGTGGATGAACACAAGGTTAAAGGGTGTTCTGCAGTTGTGATGTATTTCAGGAATTGTTTGTTTGTAAGTAATAATGCTAGCTAAAATATTATGGAGCCTTCAGCATATGAGAGAGGATTTATGTCTAGACTTACATGTGTTTTGTTTATAATGTCAGATTTCAAACTGCTTCTTGGCAAAGCAGCTACTTTCTTCCCTGTCTTTTATCTCACTCAGCATTGATAGCTTTTAACTGGATAGCTGCCTTCTCCAGCAAGCACTCCACTACCTCTGTTGCTATAACATCTACTGTTAAATACTTACAACACATTGCTTCTGAAGTGTTTTGCTTTTCCAGTAAACCTGGGAGTAGAGAAGAACTTCTAGGTAATTAATTCAAATTTGAATCTATATGTATCTTTGTAAATATTGTCATGATGAGGAATTTTGGTAGACATCGAGAAAAGCAATGCAAGTTTTATGAACAATACTCCCATATGTTCCATTCATCAGAAAGGGACAAGACTGAGAAAATCTGAATTTTGAGTAGCTGAAATGTGTTGATTCTTGCCAAGTTTCTTTAACATTTGTGTCTACAAAGTGGTGTTACAATCACTACCATGTCTACCAGGCTGCATTATACATTCA